CATGACATTTTTCTAACTGTGGCTGAAAGCTGAAATACTGTATAAAAAAAAAAGCAGACAAAAGTAATAAAATACTGTAAATATTAAACACATGTAAACCAAAATACAGTCAAATCTATTGGGAGTATAGCCACTATTGACCTCCTCCATCCATGCTGGCACAGAACAACACAGACCTTCCACCGTTTTTAATGTTTGCAGACTGATTGCTAATTGAAGATTTGTGTGAAGGAGTGTTAAACCGGTGCTTCAGTGAATTCATTCTGATCTTGGTAGTTTCTAATGGTTAGGAATACATGTGTTTTGTTTGGTTACCATAGCTAAAACAATGGAGTTTGGGCTGCTTGAATGACATCGGTGTTAACCGTTTTGAAAAATGGTGGGGAAAATGTGTCAACCCAATGAGAAAGGGTTTACACCAGGGGTGGCCAACCCTGTTCCTGGAGAGCCACCTTCCTGCAGATTTCAGTCGCTACCCATATCAAACACACCTGAACCAAATAATTAGGACCTGAACACCATGTGATAATTACAGGCAGGTGTGTTTGATATGGGTTGCAACTGAAATCTGCAGGCAGGTGGCTCTCCAGGAACAGGGTTGGCCACCTCTGGTTTACACATTTGCAAGACCTGTGTTCTGCTGTGCTGGGATAGTGATAGCGAACAAAGAAGGGGAACCTAGTTTCTTCAACCAGGTGAAAGCAAACAAGAAAAACTGTAGTACTAACTGTAACAATCATGTGTATTTTTTTTGAAAGTGTTTTGCTTTATTAGATTAAAAGAGCAGAGAAGTAGCTGCACACTACGGTCAGAGGTGGACAAAAGGCTTTAACTTCATTAACATGCCAGATCTGAACAGGAATGTGTCTTGTTTAGCTGTGATCTGCAGTGGTGGAAAGAGTATTGAAAATCATACTCCAGTAAAAGTAGCATTACTTTCCTAAAAATGTAGTGCGAGTAGAGTAAAAGTATCTGTTGTGAATGTTACTCAAAGTATGAGTAAAAAGCAGACATTTAAAAATACTCAAGAGTAGTGAGTATTACACTGTAGAAGAATATTGATGGATTTACATGTAATTTGTGGATGTGTGTGTGTGTAAACGTAACATTCTGTAGTACAGTGAGTTATTTCTCAGCAGGAACACAACGTCCTCAGAAGTTAATTTTAGGTTAGATTTAGGTTGTGATGTCAGATGACCAAAATTCAACATCTAACTATCATCTAAGGATAGCGTTATTTTGTTGTCCAATAACAACGTCAAATAATGTTGATATTTGGTTGATTTTAGGTTGTGTTGGAAAGTGACCAAAATTCAACGTTGAGCCAACATCTAAAACCAACGTCATATTGACGTCAAATACTGACATTTATTCATCAGGTGTGGCAACCAAAATCCAATGTCTGATAGACATCATATTGGTAACATCCACACAACGTTAAGCTGTAACTTCATTAGGCATTGATATTTGGTTGGTTTTAAATTGGGCGTTGGACATTGACGTCAGCCTGAAGTTGAGTTCTGACATCAACCTGATTTTGGTCCCACTTTATATTAAGTGTCCTTAACTACTATGTACTTGCATCAAAAAATGTATTTGAGAACACTTGTGATGCTTTTGAGTTGGGATAGAGGTTGGGTTATGGACAGGTTTGGTGGCATGGGTAGGTTTAAGGGTGGGTTATGGTGTAAGGGATGGTCAACAGTGTATTTACAAATGTAATTAAGCATAAGTACACAGTAAATACATGTATTTACACAATAAGTACATTGTAACAAACTTAATTCCTGTGTAAATACATATTAGTTAAGGCCACTTAATATAAAGTGGGACCCTGATTTTTATTTCCAAACAAAATGTATTGTCCCCATGACACTGAGGTATAATGTCTATCTGACGTCATGTTGACGTCTTGTGTGTGCTGGGTGTTTAAGGCCATTTCAGTCATCATACAGTAAACATCAGTGACCTGCATCTAAACAGTCTCTGGATCAATGCGTGTAAAGATTTTGATCATCTTTTTGGACACTTTTAATGCTTCCAAACAGTTTGCTGCAATTATAAATCGCCCACGTCTTGAGATAGTTCATTATGAGGTGATTTCATTGGACAGGAATCAAAGGACTAATTTTTCTGATTTTACAAGAAAAAATAAAGTAGTGACTGCAGGTTGAAGGACAGAAGTGGAGTAAAAGTACTGATACTACACAAAAAATGTGCTCAAGTGAGAGTAAAAGTACACACTTCTAAAACTATTAGTAAATTACAATTTCTGAGGAAAAACTATTCAACTACAGTAGTCTGAGTGTTTGTAGTTAGTTACTTCACACCACTGGTGATCCGGTCGACCAAAATGCATATATCGCTGATTCTTGGTCTCATCTACACTTGAAGTCAGAATTATTAGCCCCCTTCGATTTTTTTTCTTCTTTTTAAATATTTTCTAAATGATGTTTAACAGAGCAAGGAAATTTTCACAGGATGTCTAATAATATTTTTTTCTTTTGTAGAAAGTCTTATTTGTTTTATTTGGGCTAGAATAAAAGCAGTTTTTAATTTTTAAAACAATTTTAGGGACAAAATTATTAGCCCCTTAAAGCTATATTTGTTTTCGATAGTCTACAGAACAAACCATCAATATACAATGACTTGCCTAATTACCCTAACCTGCCTAGTTAACCTAATTAACCTAGTTAAGCCTTTAAATGTCACTTTAAGCTGTATAGAAGTGTCTTAAAAAATATCTATTAAAATATTATTTACCAACCCAAGCTCATTCTGGAAACGTAGCCCCGCGGACGTTTCTGGAGACCGCGATTTACGTGGCCGGAGGTGCGTAAAGGCCGCGTTTGGTTTTTTTCGAGCGAACGCTGCGGGGCGGTGTGGCGCCGCTTCGCCCCTCCTCTTCGCGCTCGCCGGCCAACGGCTCGCCTCCGAGTGGAGGGCTTTCCGGACGCAATCAGTTTGTCCGCCTAGCTCACAGCGTTGCGTCGGCGGAGCGGAGGCCCCGGAGGAGGAGGAGCCGGAGCCGGCCGCGGTGGACGACGACCGGGATCGAGTCCGGGGAACGGCGGGTTCCGGAAATCAGGTAAGACGAAAAACGGAATCCGGGAAATGAGGGCGAGAACGCGGCGGGATCCGAAAACGCGGTCGAAATCGAAGACGAGGGCTTTTGCTTTTTATCCGATCCGGCGGCTTTTCGCGCGAGAACGGCGCGGGTGCGAACGCCGCACGCTCCCGAGAGGCACCCGCCCGAGACGCAAAAAAGCGCGCACAGCGGCCTCTCGCGGATCCGCGAAAACAAAAAAAACGCTCGAATACGTACCTCCCGGGACGTAAATCGCGGTCCGCAGAAACGTCCGCGGGGCTACGTTTCCACAATGAGCCCGGGTTGTTATTTACTGTCATCATGACAAAGATAAAATAAATCAGTTATTAGAGAGGAGTTATTAAAACTATCATGTTTAGAAATGTGTTGAAAAAATTCGCTCTCCGTTAAACAGAAATTGGGGAAAAAATAAACAAGCGGTCTAAAAATTCAGGGGGGCTAATAATTCTGACATCAACTGTACATTCGCCATTTTTGCCATTACCATGGTATACTCAGTAAACAAGTCTACTTGTGCATGATCAGAGGTAAAACGCCAAAATAGATTGATTGAATCAAAAAGACTTTCAAATTGCGCAATGATAGAAATAATATAGATTGCACCACAAAACACATGAAAACGAAAGTAACAAACCCGATTTAAAAAATGTAATGATTAGAAAGTTCAGATATTTATGTAAAAGTGTAAGAAGTAAAAGTAAAATGTTGTCAGAAAAATAAATAGTAGTGATGGGAAGCTCGGATCATTTTACTGACTCGGATCTTTGATTCTCGTTCATCGAGATGAACAAATCTTGAGTCATTTCGTTTATTTGGTTCAATTTGTCAAAATATTATTAAAATGTTACAAATTCCAAACACATCTACAACTAGCCCAAAAGGTTGATCAAACGACAAATAAGTCATAAATAGAAGACTATAAGGAGAAAATAAAAATTCAATGTTTACCTGCTCTTTTGTCTATGAAGGCATTGTTGTCTCTTTGCTCAGCTCACCTCTTCATGTCTTCAAATGTCAGTGGTTCGTTCACGTTACACTGACAGTCACATATAATCTTAACCAATGAACACAGTCTGAGCCGATAGGAGCCATGATGATTAGTTCACCTTTCGAGTCTTCTGGTTCCTGAGCCGTTCGTTCATCACGTGACAGAATGACTCAAACCCGAGGACTCGAGAGATGAACTGATCAATTATTTTTCCGGCTCTAAACGCATATGATTGGCCCATGATGAACGAATGACTCAGACCCGATAGAGGACTCGAGAGATGAACTGATCAATTCTTTTTCCGGCTCTAAACGCATATGATTGGCCCGTGATGAACGAATGACTCAGACCCGATAGAGGACTCGAGAGATGAACTGATCAATTCTTTTTCCGGCTCTAAACGCATTTGATTGGCTTCTGCCTTTCCGCGTTGAAGGACTCAAAAGACTTGAAATAAACGATACCACCTGCACAAACGAACAGATCACTCCCAGAGAGGACTCGTAGTTCCCGAGTCATATTGAAGATTCGTTCAAAATGAATGAATCGTTCATGAACGACCCATCACTAATAAATAGTGGAGTAAAGTACTGATAGCAGAAAAATTTACTTGAGTACAGCAACGAAATATTCGTACTTCGTTACTTCCCATCTCTGCTCCTAAGGTGCCCCCACAACTACTTCTGTCATCATTCAATTTTACAGGGAAGCCAAAATGCTTTCAAGCATGTAATTTAAATGAGTCAATCTCTCTGCATTCGTTACTACATGTAGGGTTAATCTACAGGTGAAAAACCATTGGTTGTGATCCGTTACACCTCTAGTTGTCCATGTGCAAAGTTCAGCTTTAAACACTCATGCATCTGAAACCATGCTTTCACCTGTATGTGTGTGTGTGTTTAGGGTGGATGGGGTTGCCCTCAAGTGTGCCGCTGTCCAGTAAAGCGGCCCGTGTGCCCGGCGGGTGTGAGCGCAGTACCGGATGCCTGCGGATGCTGTAAAGTGTGTGCGGCGCAGCTCAACGACGACTGCCATGAAGGAAAGCCCTGCGATCATCACAAGGGCCTGGAGTGTAACTATGGGAATGATGTGTCCAGTCTGCACGGCATCTGCAGGGGTCAGTCAGCACAACAAAACAAAACTCCGGAAGCTGATTAAAATATAAACAAGTCTGCATCAGATCAATATGTGCAATGTTAAAGGTGCTGTATGTGAGTTTTTGACTTATCTCAAGTGTAAAAATACCATCATATGTTTGCAGATATCCAAGAAACATGCTAAGTGAACAAATTTATCTGAGAAACAATGCTGAAGTCAGTTATTCTGCTTTTAGAATGCGTGTTCCGTTTTGGAATGTCTGGCTTTGCTTTGATCGCTATAACCAGCCAGTGGTGGAAAGAGTACTGAAAATCATACTCCATTAAAAGTACCTTTACTTACCTAAAAATGTAGTGCGAGTAGAGTAAAAGCATCTGTTGTGAATATTACTCAAAGTATGAGTACAAAGTAGACCTTTCAAAAGTACTCAAGAATAGTAAGTATTACTCTGTGAAAAGCTGATGCGTTTACATGTAATTTGTGGATGTGTGTAAACGTAACATTCTGTAGTGCATTTAGTTATTGCCCAGCAGACACACAGCATCATAAGATGCTAATGTTACAAATGTAAACATTAGCTGAGCAGCTTACAGTGTAAAGGCTGATTTATATTTTCGCCTGGGACTACGCTCTCCATTGTACCCGTTTGTAACAACAGGGAGCAACTCGAAGTAACCTTCATGATGAAGGAGTGGTGAAGTAACCAGCAAGTGGAGTTGCTAAATTAATGATTTTGACTATGTATGAAATGAACAGGTTGTGGATAATATTGGGAGACATCATGAAAATGAAATTATTTTGGGGTAAGCACCCCACTGGAAGATTATTGTGCTTGTTTTAAAGAAAAACTCACTTAAAGCTGCAGTGTGCAAGTTTGACACCCAGTGGATGAACTAGGTATTGCACTCCTGGTTCAAAACACATGCACAAGACAGACATGCGTCCAGATTGACAATATAAACAGCGTGCCTGACTATCGACCCTAAAGGCTGATTTGTCGTGTTCTAAATTAAAGCAACCGCACATGATAGAAGGAATTTTTCCACATTAAAAGGAGTTTTTGTCCTAACCAGCACCTGAAATTTATATTTTAGAAACGGCTTTTATTACTTGAAGCTGAACAACAGAAAACTGACAGTGATCAGCTAAGGTACACCTCATGTGCTTTATTCAGTGTTAAATCTACATTTATATTTAGTCATTTAGCTGACGCTTTTATCCAAAGCGACGTACAAATGAGGACAAGGAAGCAACTTACACAAGTATAAGAGCAACAATGAATAAGTGCTGTAGGCAAGTTTCAGGTGTGTAAAGTCTAAGAAGGAAAACAGTAGTAATTTTTTTTTGTAGAACAGTTAGCGGTGGAGCCAGAGAGGCAATTGCAGATTAGGAAGTGAAGGAGACTAAATAGTTGAGTTTTTAGTTGTTTCTTGAAGACAGCGAGTGACTCTGCCGTTCTGATGCGGTTAGGGAGTTCATTCCACCAACTGGTCAGATTGAACGCGAGAGTTCGGGAAAGTGATTTCTTCCCTCTTTGGAATGGAACCACGAGGCGACGTTCATTCACAGAACGCAAGTTTCTGGAGGGCACATACATCTGCAGAAGTGAGAGCAGATAAGAAGGAGCAAAGCCAGAGGTCGCTTTGTAAGCAAACATCAGAGCTTTGAATTTGATGCGAGCAGCAACTGGCAGCCAGTGCAAACGGATGAGCAGCGGAGTGACATGTGCTCTTTTAGGTTCATTGAAGACCACTCGTGCTGCTGCGTTCTGAGGCAGCTAATAGTGTGAGTTTGAAAGCCATTTCACATGACATTTATTGCCATACTACTGAAAGCAGCAGCAGATAGTTCATCTCAGATCTGGAGAATTAAATAAACCATTTGAAATAGAAGAACTAAACACATTCAGTGATTCAGCATCTACATTTAATAATGGTAAAGAGTTTTAATATGTATTAACTAGATTATAAACCTTACCAGTTTGCTGGAGTGCAGTGAGTGCACTATTCTGTGCTTCTGAATGGCTGTATTCACATTTCTGTAGCCAAACAGCCGAATTGCTTATCACAGCAAATCTTGTCATGTAGTGTGTTGTTAGGACACGCGGTTACAATGTAACCTGCTCAGCTAATGCTTACATTCCTAATATTTATATTATTTGCTAATTATTGACCTCATGTGGAACTCTGAATCTAAGTCTTATTTTGGAGTCTGCTACGGTCCGCCGGAGGTCACATTTCAGTCACGGACACATGCTTTAAGAGTCTTTGACTGAATGAACGAAATACGCTGTTTTCCACCAAGGCAACCCGGGTTGCTGAAATATAACTGGTTAACGTAGCTGTGGACAGGTTTAAAGCACCAAAACAAAGACAGCCGTTCCGGCACGTAACACACATTTTTAAAGCAGAATCTCTGACTTCAGCATTGTTTTTCAGATACAAGAACAAGAATGTTCGCTTAGCATGTTTCTTAAATATCTGTAAACATATTATGGTGTTTTTATGCTTTAGAAGAGTCAAAAAGGCACATACAGTACCCTTACTTTTGACATTACTTCTTAAAACAAGACAATGCTTTTCGCTTGCCTAAAAATGCTTCTTGATTTAAGAATTTTCAGTTATTTGGACTTGAAACGAGACCAAAAATCTAAGAAATGTTTTTAGCAATGTCGTCATTTGAATTTGGACTGCAATCCCTAGTTCGACCACTAGGTCTCAATCCTACACACTGCACCTTTTATTTAGCTAGCATACATTGTCAGTCTTAAAATAACACTCCACTTTATTTATGATTTTACAGCTCCCCTAGCAGTTAAAGAGTCAAGGTTTACACTTTTTGAGTCGATTCAGATGATCTTCAGGTTTAGCGGTAGCCATACCTGTCAACATTGGGATTTGAAAAAAAGGGATATTCCCACCATAAAAAGGGATTTCCTTAACAAAAAAAAAGAGCAAAGAATGAATCTCTCATTTATTAAGATTTTATTTATTACATTAAATAAGAGGTGTCACTTAAGAAATGCACACATCTAATGTTATAATGAAAGCATTTGACTGCTTTCCTTTTTATGCTCATTTAAGACGAAATTAGTTGTGTTTGGAAAAAATAAAAAAACAACCAAGACAGTCATGCACCGCTATATGACTGTTTTGATGATTGTATAGGATGGGCGACGGCACCTGTAATCAAAAGGAAATGGAATTGCACCGTTTTTAATATTTATTTATTTATGAGTGTTTTCATTCTTAAACAAAGCAAAAGCACAGAAGACTCACGTTTTAGTGCAAGGGGCAACCCCTGGTGGTTCGGCGGTATGGGTTGAGTATAGGGAGGCTCAGCTGTTTAGAGAAAACTAAAAAATACGGGAGAAATACAGGAAAATACCTTCACGGGATGATAGCGGGCTAGAAAAGTAAAATACGGGAGAATCCCGGAAAAAACGGGAGGGTTGACAGGTATGGTAGTAGCACTTTTAGCTTAGCATAGCATAGATCCTTGAATAAGATTAGACCATTAGCATCTCGCTCAAAAATGAGCAAAGAGTTTTAATAAATTTCGTATTTAAAGCTCGACTCTTCTGTAGTTACATTGTGTACTATGAAAAATGAGTTTCTACTTTATAGACCAATATGGCAAGGAACTGTACTCTCATTATGGCATAATAATCAACAAACTTTGCTGCCATACCATGACTAAAACAGAGCATTGATATTATAGTTAAAAAATCTATTCTATTCACTCAAGTTTTCAGGTGTTGCCTCATATAATAATAATAATAATAATAATAATAATAATAATAATAAAAATCCCACCCTAACTTTCTATTTCAACAAATATAGTTCAACAAAAGGAAATAAACCCTCTAATTTTATATATAAAATTATACTTAATATAAAAAGGTAATTAAATAGATTAACAGGGAAAGAATAAAACAAATATATTATAAACAATGTTCAGACCCTCCATTGATAATCATATACAGCTAACACACAGAGCGAGAAACAAAAGTATAATTCATTCATTAGTTTCTTCGACTTAGTCGACATTCCAGAGGCTGTCACAGCGGAATGAACCACCAAGTACTCCAGCATATGTTTTATGCAGCAGATGCCCTTCCAGCTGCAACCCAGTACTGAGAAACACCCATCGACTCATTCACACAAACTACGGCCAATCTAGTTAATCAATTCACCTATCGCTCTTGTGTTTGGAGCACCCGGAGGAAACCCACGTCAACATGGGGAGAACATGCAAACTCCGCAGAGAAATGACAACTGACCCAGCCGGGACTCGAATCAGCAACCTTTTTGCTGTGAGGCCTCGGTGCTAACCACTGAGCCACCATGCCACCTTACAAAAATAACAGAAAATAAAAAATAACTAAAATAAATAATAAAGAAAAAAATAAAATAATGTCCTATATTTGACCTGTGAGTTTCATTGACTCTTCCTCTCCTACAGAGCAGATTTTATGCAGCGGGGTGTTTCTATATTAAGACCGGCATTCGAGTTGGACTAAAGGGGGTTTTAGGAGGCGTCTCTCACACCCCCAAAGACTATCTGACGCTCCATGACATTGTAAACAAGTCAAAATTCCACCCGGCCCTAAACATAGAGCCGCTCTCATAAAAGCAGAGATCGAGTGTCCATCGCTGTTTAACTGCTCACTGCACACCATTCAGCAGGAACACATCAAACCAACACAAGTCTATCTGGAGGATGTCCCAATGCGTTTCACTGGAGTCCAGCACGGAAATACAGACTCAGCAATGTTTTCCTAATGTTACTACTTTGGTTTTAAAATAACGTTTTCTAAAATGCTCCAAACTGCCTAATTTTTACAAGAAATGATGTGTTTTTCATTTGCGATGTTTCCATTCACATGTTTTTGTGTGCATATTGAAATAAATCACACAAAACTGCTTAATGGAAATGCAAGGATGCGCATACATTTTGAAAATGCACATAACCGATCAGAAAAAAATGTGCACAAACTACGATGAAAGACATTTACTG